TGCATATCCTGAAAGATGCACATATCCCGTGACTTAGCGATTCCCCTCCTTGCTATCTATCTTTGAGAAATATTCTTACTTCTGTACTAGAAGGCATGTTCAAGGATTTCTTTACAGCATTGCTTCTACCAGGGAAATGGCTAAACTAGAATACCTATACTACGGAACACTCCTCAGCAATTGAAAAGAATGAAGCCAATGTCTTTGTAATCGCTGTGTTTTTAACACAGTCACTATGATATCAGATGATCATTTAAATGCCCCCTTTTCTCTCTGAAAAGATTGTGGGGTCATAAAACCTCTTAAACTACTCACGTTACAAGTCGGGATCTTAATATATTTCTTGTACAGAGATTTTTGTTGAGTTCGAAATTTAAAAAACTTTCTTTTCTCCTTTTAACAATTTAATCAGTAAAATGAATTTGATTTCCCCCTACATCCTTGAGGTTTTTAAAGGATTATTGCCATGATAATGCCACAAACATGCCAAGCATTTTGACTTTTGCTTTTTCTTTTGTTGTAGGAATGAAGGCTTAATCCCAAGCAACTATGTGACTGAAAACAAAATAACTAATTTAGAAATATATGAGTAAGTCTTCTCCAAAATATAACCTATGATTAACCTATGAACATCAGGGACATTTTGGCAGCTTGTAAGTATAGATACTGTTTTGGGTCTGTAAAAGGAAAAGAAAGTAACACATTTGACAGCATTAATAATAAAGAGACGTTTGATCCTTATCATGGTTGATTCAGAAACTTCTTTTTCTTAAACTTATTTTTGTTCTGTTTTGTATAGCCACTTTTTCTGTTTTAACAGTGACAGTCTGAAACCAAACATTCATCTGGTACCTGTTTTATTGTATATTTTAACTGGAAAATTTACTTTAAAAAATGACATTAAATTTTCAATGAGTGGCAAATTGGACTTAACCATATAGATAAACGACTATGTTTTGGCTCATGTTTTTATGTGTTTTAGAAATAGCTGAAGATAAGAACTAGGCTAATGCTGTAGTTTGGAAGAACCATTTGGCATGTTCACTAGAGTTCCGCCTAAAATCTATTTTTGTTACAATTACAGATTTGGAAGATGGAGGAAATCTTAGCAATCACTTTTTTAGCCCCTCATTTTGCAGATGAGAAGATTGATAGATTACAGGTAGAGAGCGGTAGAACTGAGACTAGTCATATGTTTTTATAAATTTAGATTTTCAGTGTGAGCATCTCCCCCACCTCCATCTGGTTTGGGCACTTATCTTAAAATTAGCATATGCTTCCACCAGGTGGCAGTAGGTAATATATGCATTGAGGCATTAAGGCAAGTGCTTCTCTGAGAACCAGGCAGCAAATACAATCGAATGAGAGAAACTTCTTGGTTGGTCTTGCTACTAATAAAGCCCACCTAGAGGCCTAACTCAGTACATCTCTCCTAAAACAAATTCGAATTCGAAAGCTTTGGTGAATAATGTAGACTTTATTGGAGGAGAAAAGGAGATGACTTCAGGACAGATGACTCATCTACATTACTCTATGAGATTTCTCCAGTAGCTATTTCTGTTCTCTCTCCAGTCACTCTCCTCAGCTCCATCACAGGGTCTCTTCTCTCTTTTCCCACCTTCACTGGGCCTCATGGCTCCATTGGAGCCATTTAGCCCTTCCCGAGATTCTAATCTCCAGTAAATCAAAGTCCTCAGGTGACTGAACCCACCTTCCTTAGAAAACAGTTCCAAAGTGCTCACTTCAGCAGAACATATACTAACATTGGAATGATACAGAGAAGATTAGCATGGCAATTTTTAAAAATTGGAAAAAAAAAAAAAAAAAGAGGCCAGGCATGGTGGCTCACACCTGTAACCCTAGCACTTTGGGAGACTGAGGTGGGAGAATTGCTGGAGTTCAGGAGTTCAAGACTGTCCTGGGCAACATAGTGAGACCCTATCTCTATTTAAAAAAAAAAAAGAAGAAGAAGAGAAAAGAAAAGAAAAAAAAAAACAGTTCCACAGCTATCTACTCAAGAGCGTGTCCTCATGAGTTCTCACTGCTATCCCGAGCTTAAGCTGACCAACAAAAACAGGCCTCTTGCAAGGCCGGGTCAGAGGAGATTTTGTGTGTATTTACAGATACATGAAAATCTCTTGCTCAGAAAAATTAGAAAAATGAGACTTTTTTCATATAATTTGGATTTTACAGGCGATTAAAGGAGACATTTGTGAAGGTAGCTAACACAGTGCCTGGTAGTTAGTGAATGGATACTCACTACCTAGGAATGTTATTTTCCACCCTTTTGTTATTCATTCATTTGCTCATTGATTACCCTGTTTAGACAAGGCCTAGACTCTGGCTATAACAACCTGTTTATACTGTGGATGTTGGAGCATCTGAATTATACTACTCTGGGGTTACAACTGTTATCTCATTTCCCTGGGCCTTGATTTATATATGAGTTTTTTAAAAAAATCATCCTTTTTAAAATGACTCCAATTATGAGAAAACTAATTTTTCATTTTATTGCCATTTTTAAAAACAGCTTTATTAAGATGTAGATAAAATCGTTATCATTATTGATCTCTGAAATTTATTGATCACTTACTATGTCCCAAGCACTGTTCTAATGACTGTACAAAAGTCACTGCCCTAGGTTTAAGTACCAGAGCATGTGTATATAAATGGGAGCAACCTGGGTCCAAATCCTGGCATCGGCATTGACTAGTGCTTTGGTTCAGGGCAGAGTTACCTAATGTCTCTAAACCTCTGAATGATCTGAAAAGCAGAGACAATAATACCTATTCTATCTATTACATAATAAATATTCAATACATTCTAGTGATTATTATTATTTCATGAACTATGAAACTAACAGGAAAAACATTTACAGTTTGGTACACCTGGCCTATTATTTACAGGCGTTCAACACTCTTTTGTTGCTTCAGTCCTCAAAACCTTATTTGTTCCATCTGTATTTATTGTACACTTATGATGTACCAGATATAACAACATGAAATATGCAGAGTTATGGAACTTACAGTTTCTTGGGGAAAAAATAGACATTAAACCACCCTAAGTCCACAAATAAATGTACAATTTTGTTTATTTATTTATTTTTGAGACAGAGTCTCGCTCTGTCATCCAGGCTGGAGTGCAGTGGTGTGATCTTGGCTCACTCAAGCTCGCCTCCTGGGTTCATGCCATTCTCCTGCCTCAGTCTCCTAAGTAGCTGGGACTACAGGCGCCCGCCACCACACCTGGCTAATTTTTATTTATTTATTTACTTATTATTTTTATTTTTTTAGTAGAGACGGGGTTTCACCGTGTTAGCCAGGATGGTCTCAATCTCCTAACCTCGTGATTCGCCCACCTCGACCTCCCAGAGTGCTGGGATTACAGGCGTGAGCCACCGCGCCCGGCCCATAAACATACAATTTTAAATCGTAGTGTTATGACACACTGGAGCCTGGGGCTGGGGGTGGGGTGAGGGCGGCAAGGGGAGGGAGAACATCAGGAAGGATAGCTAATGGATGCTGGGCTTAATACCTAGGTGATGAGTTGATCTGTGTAGCAAACCACTATGGCACACATTTACCTATGTAACAAAACTGAATATCCTGCACATGTACCCCGGAACTTAAAATAAAAGTTGAAAAAAAAAAAAAAAACAAACTGTAGTGTTTTGAAGGAACAGTATTGGGCACTGTGGAAGAAAACACGGCAGGGGATGTAATTTAGATGGAGGATGTTGGGTTGTGTCTGAGGAAGTGACTTGAGGTCTAAAGGTGGTAGCAGGTAGTGTGTGTTGAGGGAGGGTGGGTGTAGTGGAAGGAATACTGCGTCAATGTGGAGTTCTGATATTTCAGGGGAACCTTTGTGCATAGAAAGATTTATGGCTACTTTGGCTTTAAATGAAATATCCGAATTTTCAACATTACAACATAAAAACCTAGTTTTCAGAAAGTCCTCAAATTCGACTTATAAAATTTGGTATACTATATATAAATCTAAAAAAGTAAGAACAATCAGCTTAATTCAAACTCAACATACTAGATATCCTTAAACAATCAGTCCGATTTATAAGCTCAGTTAATTAAATTTTTGGAAACTTTTAATTTGCATTAATAATCTGAATAAATTCAGTTTTCTTTCAAAGTACTTCACATGCCTGACAGGGCAAATTTACAATTGTAAAAAGCCGTATGCAAGTCTTTAAATGATCCTGGAAATCTAATAAACTAAACTTATAAATGTGGGAAATCAAGTTCCTTTAACTGTATAAATATCGTTTTAAAAACGAGTCAAATTATCTTCAACTTCAAATAACCAGTTTAAAATTAATTATGCCCTTTAAATCAGAGGCAAAAATCTAATATGCCAGATTCTCTTAAAATAATAGATATTTTAAATACCAAACATGTTGATTATTCCTGAACTTTACAGAAGTATGTTTCATTTATCTCATTATCTCTACACAGAATCCTTAATCTTCTCACAGTTAGAAAGTCACTTACTAAGGGAAGCAGATTCACCTTCTCAGATCTAATGGGGTTTCTAGATCAAAAATTCAAGAACACAATACTGTTTACTTATTGATCAGAAATCTAAGATTGGGGCATGGTACCAGAGGTATTCACATAACATACAGAATGTTTCTACTCACCCGTAGCTGGACGTGCCGGATTAAAACAAAATGTAAATAGGATTCCTGTCCCCAACTCCTTCATGCACATCATTTGGTCTTACTTGTAATCAGTGTTGTCTAGGTATAAGAGTTACAGTTTTACTTATATATATTTTTGTTTTAAAAACCCCTTCTAACTTTTATGATCTGATTTAAATAGATGAAATTCTGAAATACTGTGCTCTTGCATCCTCTAAGTTCCATTCATTCAGTCTCTTTCCTGCCTGATAGAATTCGGAATTATTTTAAAGGATCTTGAATTTGTCACATATTTCTATCTGGCAATATTAGATTAAGTTTAAAATCTTCTTAAAAATCTTGTTTTTGAGTGCTTGCTTCGGCAGCACATATACTAAAAATGGGAACAATACAGAGAAGATTAGCATGTTCCCTGTGCAAGGATGACATGCAAATTTGTGAAGCATTAAATTTTTTAAAAAGTCTTGTTTTGAAATGAAAGCCTTTCAGTTTTCCTTTCTCTCTCTTTTGTTCTACCATTTTTTCTTTCTCCTTCCCGTACAACATTTGCTTATTGACTAGGTATTATATCAAACTGTATGTTTAGCTTACAATATTAGTTAATTATGTTTACTGTGTGTACTTCTGATATTCTAAAGTCATTTAATGACATGTTTCATGCAGAGAAAACAGCATGATTGAGGGCAGAAAAGGGGTTGGTGAATCTGGGGAAGGAAAGAATTCCAATGAGACTGAAGCTCAGTGAGTGACAGGAGCCTCAGGAGAGAGATGGGGTGGGAGAGGGTGTCAGAGGCAAGTTCATGTATTGATTGTTACATGTATTCTGTTTTTTGATTTTTAAAAAATTTTATTTTAGATCTGGGGTACACGTGCAAGTTTTTTTCTTTTTTTCTTCTAACAACAGTGTATTGTGTAATGGTGGGTATTGGGTTTCTGGTGTACTCATCACCCAAATAGTGAACATTTTATACAATAAGTCATTTTTCAACTCACCCCGCTTCAATCCTCCCTGCTTTGGGAGTCCCCAGTGTCCATTATTTCCATCTCTATGGCTATGTGTTCCCCCTGTTATCTCCCACTTAAAAGTGAGAACATCTACTAACTACTGACTATATATAATGTAATGCACTTAGGAGTGTCAGAAAAGTAAGAATGGGCTTTAATTTTTGGAAGGCGTAACAAAGCACCTATAAAAACACGTAAGTAGGAAGTTTCTGAGAGGAAAGACAGACATGAGTATTTTTTTAGTTTGCCAAAACTCTGTGTTTGTTCAAGATGATGAGGTCTTTACCACATACCTTTCATGGAAATCTATAAGAAGTTAAATCATTCATAATGTATACTAAGTATATATTGGAAGTTGAATTGAGATATGATAGAATAAACTAGATATTGGCTTGAAAATAAAATTATATTAAACTTAATTAACCCATAATGATATATTATTGTTTATCTGAATAAAAAAAAACCACTCAACTTTCTAAGATCAGATCTGAAGTAAGTTCTTAAAAATGAAGGAAATGAAGCCCTGTTTTTTTCTAAAAAAAATTGAATATAAAATTTAAAAATCATTTTTATTGCTTTTACAGGTGGTACCATAGAAACATTACCAGAAATCAGGCAGAACGTCTATTGAGACAAGAGGTAATTCAATATATTTGTGGACATTTTCAAAATTTCTGAGAAGTACTTATAAAGACTTTAAGCAACTAAAAAAGTATATTATTTCTTGTCTTTTCTAGTTCTAAAATATCATTATATCCCAACTATATATTTTATGTGAAGCTGTAAATCAGATATATTTGTATTAGATCATATTTTCCAACAACTTTCATTATAATTTCAGAAATATGTTTCTCCTGAAAGGATTTCAGCTCTAACATATGGAGACTACTGCACTCACTCCAAGGTGCATTCTGCCAAGCCAAAGGAGTCTCTCTCTCTCTCTCTCTCTCTCTCTACACACACACACACACACACACACACACACACATATATATATATATATATTTTTTTTTTTTTTTTTGAGACATGGTCTCACTGTGTCACCCAGGTTGAGGTGTAGTGGCTCGATAACAGCTGACTGAAGTCTTGACCTCCTGGGCTTCAAGCTGTCCTCCCACCTCAGTCTTCTGAGTAGCTGGAACTACAGGCGTGCCACCATGCCTGGCTAGTTTCTTTGTATTTTTTATAGAGATGGGGTTTTGCCATGCTGCCCAACTGGTCTTGAACTACTGAGCTCAAATGATCAGCCTGGCTTGGCCTCCCAAAGTGCTGAGATTACAGGTGTGAACCACCACGCCTAGTCTGGAGTCCTGTATTTGAGTTGTTCATTATAACCTTTGCATCAAAGGCAGTAAAGTATAGACTTGATCCTCAGGAACTTAGGTTAGACTCATTAAAAACACAAACAAAGAAAAATACCTGCTGCTGCAGTGTCTTTGTTCTTTGGAAACAAAGGAAAGAGTAGAATAGCCAAAATATCAAACTCATATCAAAACTACTCATTTAGGTCAAACCAAAACAAAGCTGCCTATAGTTTAAATTTCCAACTGTCAGTAAACGTTAACTGTGGGTAAAAGTAGAGTCAAAACTAAAAACTAGGTAAGAGCATGTGTGTCATTTTGCTCTGCTGTTGGATATTGAGGAAATCTAGAAATGCGAATGAGAAAGAATCAGTTCTGTAACTCAAAACTCAATGCCAGCAATGGCTCAGGGTACAATGAAGACCCACTTCATAGCAGGGGCTATAGGCAGAGAATGAGGGACACAGGCCCATCTCAGGTGACCACGGATGGAGGTTGGACAGGCCTTGCTTGCTTGGAGGAAACTGAGTGTGGCAGAAAATATGCTATCTTCTTGGTATGGTCACAGCAAATGGCCTTTTGTAAGATGACATTAATACGTCCAACATGGAGAAATAAAATGTTACAACAGGTGGGCAGACTGAGAGAAGGAAAGTCCCAGAGGAGGTCTGCAGTTAGCACACTGGTCGCAGGTAATATGGCCCAAATCACTGGGCTGTGGAGATTCAGTATAAGAGCTTCTGCATCTGAAAAGAAACCAGACAAGGCAAGGGTCTCATCTCTTTTCAGAGACTTGAATAGGGAATTATACGCACAGGCCCACAACCCAGACATGGCAAATATTAAAATTTGGCCATGACATTTTAAAAATAAATAAAACATTACAGATACAGTTGAAGCCCACCCCCTTCATCTTCTTGGTCCTCTCTCATTCCTTAGAGGCAATCACAGTAGAAGGGTATGTTCTTGTTTTCTCCATGTGGTTAAATTTTGGTCATATATGCATACACATAAACAACCTATAATGTTATTTTATGTATTCTACCATTTGATAGAAAGGAGATCATATGTATGTTGATTTTTTAGTTAAACATTATGTTTTCAAAGTTTATCGATATGGGTATGTATACTATAGATCAAATACATTCCTTTAACTGTATATTAGTGTATTTCATGATATGACTATATAAAATTGTATTCAATGTGGATACACATTCAAAATGTTTTTGATTTGTTACTGTTACAAACAGTGCTGCAATGAATTTTCTTATAAACGTCATTTTGTACACAGGGCGAGATGGAATTATGTGGCCACAGGGTATGTGCAGATTTAACATTATTAGATATTTTCAAAATATGATTCAAAATGGTTATACTAATTTATGCTTTTGTGGTGAATGAGATAAACTGGTTCCCAACATTCTTGCCAGCAGGTGGCAAGTAGTTTCACAGTTTTTTTTTTCAATTCATTGGGTGAAAAATTGTATACCTTTTCATTTTCTTGATTACCAGTGCAATTGAGTTACTTTTGAAGTGTCTGTAGGCCCGTTGAGCTTACTCTTCTGTGACATGCCTGTCAACATTTTTTGTCCACTTTTCTATAGTGCTTGCCTTTTGAACTCGTAAGTCTATATTTAAAAAATACAGCTGGGGGTGATGGCTAAAGCCTGTAATCCCAGCACTTTAGGAGGCCACGGCAGGTGGATCATTTGAGGTCAGGAGTTCGAGACCAGCCTGGCCAACATTCCGAAACCCCATCTCTACTGAAAATACAAAAATTAGCCAGGCCTGGTGGTGGGCGCCTCTAATCCCAGCTACTCAGAAGGCTGGGGCAGGAGAATCGCTTGAACCTGGGAGGTGGAGATTGCAGTGAGCCAAGATCACGCCACTGCACTCCAGCCTGGGTGACAGAGTGAGACTCCATCTCAAAAAAATAAATAAATAAATAAATAAATAATATTTTGAATACCAATCTTTTTTGTCAGCTATATGTTGTAAATATATTCTTCTGGTTTCTGGCTTTTAGGAAAACTTTATACTATTTTCTTTTCTCACATAGAATTTAAAAAGGTTAATGTGGTCACATTTCTCAAATTTTCCTTTATTATCTATGCTTCTTTTCTTCTTAGTATAAGAAACTTTTCTTCCTCTTGAAGTAATGAATGGATTTCTATCCTCTTTTAAATGTATTAAGGATTTGCTTTCCACATCTGGGTCTTTATCAGAAATGAGTGTGTATGTGTGTATAAAGCATGGGATATTTAAAATATACATATTTTTTTTATCTCAAAAATGTTTTTCTAATTTATGTATTTTCTAATTTATTTATTTATTTATTTATTTATTTATTTATTTATTTATTTATTTATTTTTGAGAGGGAGTCTCACTCGTTGCCCAGGCTGGAGTGCAGTGGCGCGATCTCGGCTCACTGCAAGCTCCGCCTCCCGGATTCACGCCATTCTCCCGCCTCAGCCTCCCCAGTAGCTGGGACCGCAGGCCCCCACCACCACGCCCGGCTAATTTTTTGTATATTTATACAGACGGGGTTTCACTGTATTAACCAGGATGGTCTCCATCTCTTGACCTCATGATCCTCCCGCCTCGGCCTCCCAAAGTGCTGGGATTACAGGCGTGAGCCACCACATCCGGCCTTCTAATTTTTATTTTAAAAACATATCTGGCCCTCCTACTTGTCACAAGGCATTTAAAATACATATTCTGGTTTGGGTTTCCTTATATTCTATTCAGCATTTATCCTGTTATGTTCAAAAGGGAGCCTGGCTTATAATTTTCTGTTCTCTTTGATTTTAGTATAAAGGTTACATTAACATCATAAAATGAGTTAAGGAGTGGGGCTTTGGCTGTCTTTCCTATCTCGGGAATAGTTTTTATTGGTTGGTTAGCTACTATAACTGTCCTGTAACATAGTCCAGATATGCTGCTTTTAAAAGCAGGTAGATACGTGATTACTGATTGAATTTCCTTTTCTTTTTGAAATGTTTGATAACTTATATTTACCTAGAGAATTGCCTATTTTAAATTTATTTTCAAATTTACTGCACAAACAATTCATGGCAATATCCTATAATTTTTATTTATTTCATATTTCAATAGTCAGTATGTTCACGTGGTTCAAAATCGAAAGATTTT